CACGGGTGGTTCCCCATAAGAGTATAGTCCTCCAAATCTGGTTTCAATGCTCGCTGAAAATTCAAATATTGGTATTCATTGTGCCGTCCTCGAATTGCTTCCTTGTTACTACTCGCGCTTTCCAAATGATATTGTCCGTCACGTTTCAGGGCATCTTTAAGTTTTTCCTTCCAATCCTCTTTCTCGAAGATGTCCTCCTCGCCCTCCTTGAACAGCATTGCATCAATGGAAGGGAAGGCGCCTCCAGAACTTGCTCCCGAACGATCTGTCTTAGTCGCACCGGGCATGACGAAAACGTCATTTTGAACCGATGGATCATCAATTCGAAGTGCTCTCTGTTTGATTTGCAAGGACTTTTGAAAACACTCCTCTGCTTTCTCCAGTTCCTTCTCTTCCATCTCCATATAACAGTTGCCAATGGAATCATAGATATTGGCCATCTTTGAGTGATCTTCACCGAGAGCTTCTCGCATCATCGAAAGTGCCTTCTCGAGTTCAGCTATGGCTTCTTTGAATTCAGATTTCTTCTGCTTCACGCTTCCAATATAATAGTAAATCTTGGCAACTTGCATCTTTGCAGAACTCGATTCCTTACCATTTGCCCTTGCATTTTCCTCTTCAAGAGCTGCCTTCTTGATTGCCAGAGACCTTTCATAAAAAATCTCGGAGGTATGTGGCTTTCCAAACATTGCTGATAGATACCCCAAATTATTATATGTGGTTGCAAGGGCAATGTTTTGATCTGCTGTATCAGCGTAGATTTTGATGGCTTCAATGTAGTTAAGAATCGCGTTCCTGGCGTCACCCTCTTCTTTGTATACATTTGCTAGACTATTGTAAGTCTCTCCGACTTCAACTCGCTTTTTCGAAGGTAAGTCCACAGTCTGAAAGATATCCAAACTTGTCTGAAACTCTTTCTTAGCAGCAGCCAAATCACGAGATTTGCGACAAACTAGCCCCATGTTCTTGTGGTTCACGGCTTCCACCATCCTAAAATTGTTATTCAAACTTTTCAGCAATTCTCGGGCTCCATCCAATTTATTCAAACTCTTCAACAATTCTCGGGCTCCATCCAACTCTCCTCGTGCTCTATCCAACTCTTCTCGTGCTAGAGGATATTCTTCGTTCTCGTACAATAATCTACCCTTCGCATTTCGAATATCAGCCACAGATACCTGGTCTTGTACACTTTCTTTTTGGTTTTCATGTCCCTCTTCTTTTGGCTTTTGAGCTAGACTTTGATGAATCTCGAGAGCCATAGCCAAGTGTCTCTTGCCTTTCTCCGACTTTTCAGTTTGCATATAGAGAGTTCCAATCATCTTATGTGTTTCAGCAGAATCCTTGGACAATATCTCGCAGTTGGCCATATCAATCACAAGTGACATCCCAAAATACGCGTTGGCATCCTGAAAGTTACCCATTGCATATGCTGAGGCTCCCATATCTCGATAAACCTTCGAATCGGTTTCGTCTAAGAGACTCGCAACAACCTTCTTGCGAATTTCCTCCATGTTCTCGAGGTTTTCCGCGAAATCTCTAACTGTGTTGTTGGCATCCTTATTCTGAAATAATACTTGCTTTGGTTGGACTTCCATCCGTTCCTTCTTGGCCTCGTATTCAGAACTGCGCATAGTTTCAATTCCACCCGATGTAGATGAAGCGACGCTAGTTCCGGCTTGGTTATTGGAGTCTACAACCTCTGCGTTTTCCTCCATATATCTAGCTGTAATCAGCAATTCTTGCTTTCGTTGCTCTTCCATCCGTTCGTGTACAGCCGCGTAATATTCGGAATTGTTCATACTTTGAACTTCAACGGCTTGGCTATCGAAATCCTCACTTACTCTTGCAGATTCGGACATATCTGAGATGTGCCCAATTGATTTTGTAGAAACCATTTTGGTGCTCTAATCAGATGCTGAGGTTGCAGTCCAAAGGGTTTTATTTTATGGAACATCGCTATGGTATCATGTTTGATCAGCGTTTCCAGACGCGGCAAGAGATACATATCATTTATAAAATACGATCGACTCTCCACCTTCCCGCTCGTTCCGAATGACCACTTTTTGGCGTATTTTCGATGTATTTCCATTGGCGTATTGGTCTGTTTTCAACGGTTTCAATACGTCGAATTTTTTCCAAACCACTCGGAACGAACCCTGGTTTTTCGACGTATGTGTACATGGTAGGGTCTGCAACTGGTGGGAGAAGCAGACATAACGTGCCGTAAAGGCTAAGCTAAAACAGAAGAAACGAAAGTCGACTGAGTCGAACTAACGGTCGATTGAGTCGGCCGAAAAACGACGATGAATGTATGTGGTCAACTGCGACATGGTGCGACACGGAGCTACAGGCAAATGTATACTAAATAAATAGCTTAATTTCTGACACCCGAACACCAAACCCCACCGGACATCCCAGTTTTCACGTGCACACCCGCAAAGTAGTGAGCAAAGCTGCCCAGGAACACCCGGCAAATGACGAAAATCCGTACCGCGCGGGGTCGACTGTGGGAATTCTGATGTCTTTCAATTGGCGATCCCTGTGAACCAGCCTAGAAGAAGAGATAGGAATGGGTCACAACAAAAGTTATAGAGTCTCTCAGAAAGCCACAGAAAGGAGTGACGTGAGCGTTAGGCCTAAAGCTATGTCTGTACCTCCAAAGGGTCT